GATCATTCACTCAACTTTTGGCATTTACTAAGTTATTTCAAACTTCTTTCAAACATTCTTCTTATTCTTCATTTATTAACTTCACCTTGATTATTTGTTCTCATTCTTCATTTAACGACTTGATCATTTGTTGAATATATTAACTTAGACTTGGCTGGTCTTTCCAGTCTTGACTACAACATTTATTAGCAAACATACATTGATCTTAAGCATTCACTCAAGGTTTGAGTTCTCAAACCTTGTCCTTGCACATCAGATCTATTTTGCTCTCTCACATATCACATATCAATCCTAGATAATTATCGCAAAGACAATCATCTATCCAACACTCTCACTTGTGGGCTGGCATTATGGCCGTAGACCCACCCCTACTAGAAGGAAACTCACCTCGAAGTCGTGTAGTGTCTGCACTAATCTCGGTGTGGAAATCGACTCTCCCCGACTCCTCAATCCCTACACGACAACTCTTCTAAGTTATCAACTCATACTCGTAACCCTTACAAGGGTCACTCAATCCAAGTCAAAGTCAAAGTCAATTCCATGGTCAAAGTCAACTTTTGGTCAAAGTCAACATCTGGTTGACTCGACTAGCCGAGTTGGCCCGTCAACTCGTCGAGTCCCCATATCCACAAAATGCCATAATCCCGTCCCTACTCGTCGAGTCTAGCAAGAGCTCGACGAGTTCGCCTTCAACAACACATCAGACAATCTTCAACCGACTCGCCAAGTACGTCCTTGAACTCGCTGAGTTCATCTTCGTCCCTAAGAAGATGTTCAGTCTACGACTCGCCGAGTTCCCCTTGAACTCGCCGAGTCCGTCTTCATGTGGTTGGGACCTTGCCTTGAACTCGTCGAGTCTGTTCATCCACTCGCCGAGTCCTATGATCTCCAGGTCCCTAGTGAACCTAAACAACTGGGGGAACCTTCAATCTTACCAACTAGTCCATAAACAGAAAGGATTTGGCGGAGAATACACCCCGACTCGCCGAGTCCCATGAACGACTCGCCGTGTCCCTCTATGTCCAAAACTATACAGTCAATTATAATGGGTCTTAACGCGTCAAAACCATAGATCTAGCCTCCTAGGGTCCATTTTATACGTAAAGCTTCAAATTTGATGTATATGCATGGGGCCTTTGGCTCAAAAAGCCATAAAAGGAGGTCTACAAGATGCATGGGTCTCCCATGGCCATAAAGTTGGCACCTTTATGCCTTGGAAACCCTCAATGGTTCCAGATCTGAAGCACAAACCCACTTCTACACCCAAACCCGAATATAACTTCACTAATACTTAGAAAAATATAGAAAATAGCCCCAAATCAAGATCTAAGCAATGAGTAGCCAAGGTTTCCGCTTTATACCTCAAATAAGCTGGAAATGTGCCCAAAACTCTGGATCTTCTTGCTTCCTCTTGATCTCACAAGCTTCCTTCTCCTTCTCAAAGTTCAATCACACAAAAATGACACCACAAAGCTCAAGAACACTCAAATAAGGCTTAGGGTTTCGTGAACAGGGTATGGAGGTGATGGAGGCTGGGATGGAGTCCTCATAAAGTGTTTAAATAGGGTGAAAATCCTCAAATTTAGGGTTTCACTCAGACATCTCCTACTCGCCGAGTCGGTCTCCCGACTCGTCGAGTAGGTCACTTAACCCCCCCCCCCCCGATCCGCAGCCGACCTACTCGATGAGTTGAGCCTCCAACTCGCCGAGTCCCAATGTAAAATATGGAGTTCTACTTGAATTTAATTACGTACCTGAAACCGGGTGTTACACCTTTTATATATGATATGTGGCGGTTAGAAATGCATGTTAGTGACTATGGATCTTCAGGATTTGTGTGATAGGATTGTCTGTTGCTTGCTTTATGCTATGTGAAACCCTTACTAATGTCGACTAACTATTAAAAGAATATTTTAGGTTGCATGCTACAGGGATTAAATAATATTATAATGTTAGGTTAAACTCTATTGCACAACTCTTGTTTGAGTCCAACCGTTGTAGTGCAAGACCTCAGAGTAAAAAAATTGTTTAATGTTTGTTGCATGTGATTGTATTCGTGAGTTAATCTTCTTAATTTTGAATCCTAGTAAGTGGCTTCTCAATTTTTAAGAGATGATTTCTTATTCATTTGCTTAATTTCAATTTTTGAATGTTAATCTTAATTTTGATTTCCCTGTTTTATTGAACTTCAAATTTTATGTTGTGACTGTGTTGGGCTTTTTCAATTGCTTAAAGGTTATTCACATCATCACAGGCAGCCAACAGTAGGCAGAAAGGAACTCTCTTAATCTCGTTTTATTTTTTTGTTAATTTGTTTGTTGTTAGATGATGACGTGCCCTAGCACGCACAGAGGAGTCGTGCCCGGTCGTGCCAGAGAATGCCCCAAGGCATGACGCACCCGACAGGCTAAGCCCGACATAATCTAGTGCCCGACAGCGCCCCTGAGAGCAGGGCGCTCGCGGAGAAAGGCTCGGCCCCGCCCGGGGCGCTTTCCACTCCGGGACAAATATAACGGTTAGGCGACAAGACAGATGCTCAGAGCATTACCGCCTGAACCAATCGTTGGCTCTGACAGATTAAGGAGCACAATCCACCAATCAGCGTCCCCAATCCTATCGGGTCTGACACCATTGTCCCGTATAGACTAGTAGAAGGGTCTAGTATAAAAGGCTACCCCATGTGCCTTGGGAAGTAAGTGATTCTCTCTCAGTCTTACCCACAATACAACCCCATGTCTATCCACTGACTTAACCATCGCGTTTTCCTGAGATCCCCTCCCGGAGAACGGATGACGGCCCTTTCTTGCTGTGACCTCGCAGGTTCGCCGGAACAACCACAAACGAAGAACATCACCGAGGAGGAACCATGTCACATCATTAGCAGTTAGCCTCTTATCACTTATATCTATTAAATGGGTTGGCTATGTTATGCAGTGAAAAAGATTTGTGGGATAATATTGAACTTGATGCTATAATTGATGACTTTGCATCTAAAAAACTCGAAAATGTAATTTTATTTGGTTTTTCTTTGCTTTGTATATGTATTAGGATTTACATCATGTTACGGTCTTTTTTATTTTATTGTTTTGTATTAATAGTTGTTAGGTTGTTTGGCTCTCGGTGCATGTCCCTAAGCCTTTTCATTTCAATATGTGGCGGTAATTGTTTTATTTTTTTTATAGTTAATAATAAATTTTGGAGATGTTGCCCTCGTTTTATATATATATATATATATATATATATATAATATATATATATATATATATATATATATATATATATATATATATTATATTGCAAAAGACCGCTTTTTTGATTTTACCCCGCGTCCAGATTTTAAGCTCATCTCTTAGAGGAAAGTGTTATTAAAGATAAAATTACAAATTTTGTCCCCGAGGTATGTTAAAAATTGTGACTTTGTCCAAAATATTTTAGAGTTGCACTAGTAGTACAAAATAAGAATTTTATTGCGAGTTGGTCCAAAACTTTTTGAATGTATTTCAAATGACGAATTTACCCTTTTAATTTTATTACAACAATTATAAAAACATAAATAAGATACAACCCTCACCCCACCTCTCACCCGTTCCCATCTATCTCTTTTTTCTAAAATACCAACACCACTAACTACCATCGATCGGAGATATAAACGCCGTCGCCACCGTCGCTGACCAGAGATATGAACGCCACCTCCCCGTCGCTAAAACCAGATCTTTAAATCCAATGAAGGTAACGCTGAGAACCCACGGGTTTTTATGCCTCATGCAAAAAACATATGGATGGTAGATTAGGGTTTCATGGCGGCGGCGGGTAGATTAGGGTTGTTGTTAGACGGCGTTGTAAGTTTACCACAGATGGTTGCTCAATTAGGGGATTCCAAATCTAGACATGAAATTGATCTTACGCGGAGAAGACGAACTGAGAAAGAGGGTGACGACTCCGGTTGTCATTTAGCGAGTAGAAGAGAGAGAAAGAGGTCTCCGACGAGCATCATCGGCGTCGTTAGGGAAGGAGCAAGACGAAGCCGACGTTCTTCATCTTCTTCGACTAGCGACTGTCGCAAGAAACCACCCGCCGGCCGCCGCTGTCATCCTTCATCAAAAGAGAGATGACTGGTTCTGAAACATAATGGTATGGAGTTGTTCGTGGGTCTAAGACAAATTTGGAAAATTGATTTGGTTTTCTCTCTCGTTTTCTAGAGGTTTTTAGATTTTTTGTTTACAGATCTCAAAACTCAAATACGTTGTTCTAGAGTGTTATTGAGTTTGTAGGAAAACTGATAATCATGTTTGAGATTGCAGATATAAAAAAATAAGTGTTTGATTTTTCAAATCTGAATTTTTTTTTGTTTGATTGGAGCTGGTGGTAGTGGTGGTGTTCAAAGGCAGTGGTGAGACCAGTGGTTGTGGTGGATTCCGGTGGTGGTTTGCTATAGAGAGAGAGAGTAATAGTTAGTGGGATGATTATTTTCTGTTTTAATTTAGAAAATAATTAAATTAAATAAGATAAATAAAAAAATAAAAATACAAAAGTCAAACTCCTCATTTTTTAAAAGTTCAAAATAAATTAAAACAAAGTCACTGTAAATAGAAACCTTTTGAACCAAGATGCAACTTTAAAATGTATTTTGAACCAAAGTTCTATTAACTCTAAACTTTTTTCTTAAAAACTAAATAAATAAGCAAAATATAGGGACAAAATTTGTAATTTTATCGCTCTCAAAAACTTGTTGAAAAAACTGTTCATAGTTATTGTAAAAGGATCCTAACATTTATATGTGCATACATGCTTATTCGTAAACTACCAATCACTGTTTGCATAAATTTTTATACAGAAAATATGTAATCGATGTATTTGATTCTAATTAAAACAAAAAAAACCGAATATTGTGACATAAGAGTACAAAATATAAAACATATAAAAATAATTCAAATGAGGTATATACCTATAGTTAATTTAGTTACAATTCTTTTTAACCCTAATCAATAATTATACACGAGCTAGGGCAAAAACCTGTCAATCGTAACACTCGTCATTTCCGCCGCCGTAGATTGAGTTCCACTCACTCCGGCAACCGGCACCTCATTGCATCTATCACACTTTGTCGTCTTCAACAACATTTGCCGGCACGACGGACATGTAAAATGAGATACGATCCATCTGTCAATACACACGACGTGAAAACAATGGCTGCAAAGCGGCAACACTCTAACCTCGTCTCCGACAACAAATTCCGTCAGGCAGATGGCGCAATCGGAGAATCTCTCGGTCATGGAATTGCCGGAGTACGTGAGCTTTGGAATGCTTCTCAGAAGCTTGGAAGCCGGTAGCGAGAAGTGATCGTTCTGGGTGGTTGTAACGGTGTTGCCGGAAAACCAGCGGAAGCAGGTGCAACGAGCGGCGGCGTTGAGGGCGATAAGGCAAAGTAAGAAAAACAAGATGATGACGAGGCCGACGAAGAGAAAGAACTGGGAGCTAAAGATTACGTAGTGGTCGTCCGGCATTGGTTCTGGCGGTGTCGGCGTGGGTGAATATTGACCACCGAGAATCAAGAAACGGTGAGACATGGGTGTGGTTGGGAACTGGTGGTGGGGTCAAGAAGCATGAGCCTGTTTTCGGCGTTATATAATAATGATTTTATTAACAACCGCTTTAATTATATTTCAAAGAAAAAATATGTATACTTTCATTAGACCTCATTAGTTTTATAAATTCAAACGTATTGCTGTATAAATCTTCCCATTGATTGAAAATAATAATAAAAACTAGAAAGGTTACCCCCGCTACGCGGGGACAGAAGCTTTCAATGTTGTTTCCGAATTGATAAATATGACAGACATAGAAAGTGCAAAGATGAAAAGTCCGGACTTTGCCCCGGACAAAAAACGTAAAAGTTTTGACTGCAAGGACCAGAAGTGTGAAAATGACTAAAGAATTAAAGGGGTAGGAATTAGCAACTTTTTAGAAAAGGGATCAAAGTTGTCAAACCGTTAAAGTTTTGTGGCCAAACTTTAAATATTAAAAGGTTCCAAAAAAAGTGTAAAAATATTGATTGCAAGGACCAAAAGTGTCAAAATGGGTAAAGAATAATGACCAAAGTTGCCAAAAAACATCCAAATTTAGTATTCCTAACTTCCAACAATAATACAGGGACCAATACTGCCAAAAAAATGGGAAGTTGAATGGAACACAAACAAAAGCACATGAATAAATTAATTAAAGAAGTACAGGGACCGGATATATAAATCAAGGGACCAAACTTGAACAAAGTATCCCAAGTTTACTATTCCTTTCTTCCACAACTTTAATATATATATATATATAATAGCTTCTAGTACTAACGGTATTGAATGCTGTCCACTGATCAATGTTTTATAAATCTTGTTTTCATTTGACACTAATTTATTAAGAATTACTTTGTAAAATGGATTGCTTTGGTTAACCAATCAATGTTTTTTGTTTTCTTTGATTTAGGGAGGAGGGAGTCGTTCCCTCCCAACCCACTGAACTCACTGCCACATCATTTTTTTCTCTTTTATTTTTATTCATTTTTCCGAACCCACAACACACGGAAATCCTATCTTTTTTAAGCCACTCAACCCACTCAATTAAAAAAAAATACAAAATAATCAAATGTAAAATCTTAATTAGCAATAGAGTTATCGGCGGTACCACTCCCGCTTCAACGAGTGGGTTGATTGGTTTCACTAACCCACTTCATCATCTCTCTCTACTTTCTCTTTCTTATTTTCTCTTGTACCATGTGTTTTAAAACTTGTACCTTAGTTGTTTTATATTTTTTTTAATTGAGTGGGTTGAGTGGGTTCAAAAAGATAGGATTTCCGTGTGTTGTGGGTTCGGAAAGATGAAGAAAAATAAAAAGAGAAAAATTGATGTGACAGTGGGTTCGGTGGGTTGGGAGGGAACGACTCCCTCCTCCCTTATAAGTGATATCAAATGGTTTATAGTCAATATATATAGTCATCTGGTGTTAATATTGTGTCATTCATTTTAAATCTTGTTTTCATTTGACACTAATTTATTAAAGAATAGATCAGAGAGTGTGTTTCCTTCCTTATTCCAAAAAATACATAGAAGTGATGAGTCATAAAATGGGTTCCTCGAGGTTCGTTAAGAAGGTTTGATTTCTCATTTTTTTTCGTGATTATAGGAACCAGAAAATGGTTATATCTTAGATTGATTGGTTGAAAAATCCAATTAACGCCTCTATTTAGTCATTTTTTCTAGCTTCTCGCTAGTGGTCGATTTTAATATATTCAACTTCTCAAAAAATAATTACTAGAAATATCAGTTTATTTTTATAAATAAGATAGCTTGATTTTAAACACTTGATATGTTTTTTTAACAATTTTATACCATTGCTCATATTGACTAAAAGGGGTGGGGACATCTCATTTGGTTCAAAAGATAACAAAAGTTACACATGATCTTTTATGTATATAAAGATTCGTTTTTTATGGCTCAAAAGCCTTCATGCAA